TTTGATAAGCCAGATGCTCCTGTAGGTTGGCATCTACCTGGCTCACTTGTGCCCCAGCGTCTCTTACCTGGGCTTCTTCGGAGTCCCAGATAGGGCTGGAGGGATCTAGGTCACCAGACTTGAGAAGAAGTCTTGCCAATGTCCTTGGTCCTCAGCTCCTGGCACTGTGGTGTCTCCTACACCCGAACCTCCTCACTGCCCTGCGTCTTCTAGCCCTTCCTTTTGACAACTGTCTGTAATGCACTAATTTTTACCCCTGAACCCATACCTGGCACGGGTCTGCCAGTGGAGGAAGAAGAAAGATGGAAGCCTCCTGCAGCCCTCCTGCTCTCTGGCCTTCTTGACTAAAGAAAGACACTTCCTAAGCAGCCTGGGGAAGATGTACACTAGCTGCCATAGTCTCCCCACAGCTGAATTAGGCAGCTTCCTTAAAGAGCAGCCCTGACCCTTGTCTAGTTGCTTCCTTGTTGTCTCTCAGGCATTAGCCTTCTCAGAATTCTAGCTCCAGTATTTGTCTTTAAGCAATTACCTAAGTATTGTCTCCTTGGGGGGCCAATTTGCCTTCCAACCTCAATAAACGCACTTAATTCCCCAACAGGCAGGACACAGGCTGGGGAATAGTGCTTGCCATCAGTGTCTCAATGGAAATTTTTGCACAGCCTAATACCAAAAGTGGGCTTTCTGTGGAAAATTTCAGACCTCTCCCCCTAACTTTTGTTGATCAGGGTCTTCAGGCTCACCAGGGTCCTCTCAGATTAAGAAGGGCATGACCTAACTGTTGAGGCCAAAATACACCCTGAGGTCTATATATTAAGGAGGCTGGCTCTTGAAAGTCCCATGAAGCCTTGGGTCTGGTGGGCTGGCTTGTGGGGGAGGGAGCCAAACATGTTTTGTTTGGCTTCAAGAGTATGATGGGTCATCAACCCCACACTCACATACTGCTCCCAGCATACACTTAGGGGTGAAAGGTGGCATCCTACCCAGAATGAGAAAGATACCTCACACTAAGGACATTAGCTCCACTTGAGTAGACAAACTCTCCTGCTGACGTCAAAGGGTCCCTTCCTACACCAGGTGTTTGGGACTCCCAAAGAAGGTTCTTGATGAAGGAGGATGAAAAGCAAACAAGAGGGGTAGGAAGAACTTAGGTGCCCCCACATTCCAGGGACAGGTTGGGAGCTGGTAGAGAGCTGACCGATTCTGTGCTTAGGCCCTTTCAGGGTCCATGACAGGCTGCTAAACCTCCTCTTTTCTTTTCCCCTTGCCATGTAATCTCTCAGCTCCATCATAGATGGCTGCCCTTTGCACTCTTGCTCAGGCTTCTTCTAGTGCTCTTGAACTTTTCACAGCTAGCTCAGTCCTGCTTTTTGAACCTTCACCTTGGTTAGCTGAGATATAGCATGGAGATGCCACCAAGAAGGAAAGAGAAGAAACAGTCACCCTTTAAGAAGCCACCCAGGAAGCTCGCACTGGCTGGCTCATGAGCCGACCAAGAACCATGGCCTAGCAGAGCATCTCTCAGCCACACATGTTATGCATATGGCATATTTAGGGTGAGGCTGCCAACTGTTGTAGAAAGCAAAAGGACATAATGGAATCTTGTGCCTATCAGGTCCCAGCAAACACTGGGGCACACTATCAAGGGCACTTGGAACCCTACAGTGTCTTTAGACCTTGAAGGCTTAATTAGAACTCATTTCAGAATGAAGTTTTCTTCAGAGTGCTCTGGCTTTCTTCAACTCTACATTTCCATATTTGAAGAAGGATGCTGAAATTAGTACTAGGGCCATACTCCTTGTGGAGTAAATTTAAGTTCAAGCTATGTGTGCTCCAAAGAGTGTCTCCTTTGCCTCACTTTGTGTCAGCCCCCACCTTCCCTCCTGACTGTAAGGGAAGGTGGGGGTTCTGAGGCATCCTTCATAAAGAGTTGGTTCATAAAGGGGACTTGATGTTCTCCTTCCCATCTCACTCCTTGAGGTTCCAGAATTTCTAGTTCCACTCTAGGCAGAAGGGTTCCCCATGGATTTCTCTATCCATGGTGTATTTAGAAGCAAGGAAAAAAAGAAGTAACACACACACACACACACACACACACACACACACACACACACACACAAATGTGGATGCTTTTCAGAAAGTTTCCAAATAAGTCTGTGTGTGGTTTATTGGGTGGAAATCCTGGCTGTTGCAAAACAGTCTCTCCTACCTGTTTTAGATGAGAATGTCTCAAATCTGTCACAACATTTGAGATCTGAGGGACCAAAGGCTTAGGGTCATATAGCAAGCCCACTGGCATATGGGGGATGAAGTCAGAAATGCAGTTTGAGAAGACCAGGTGATGGTTGGATCATAGAGGGCTGACCGCAGGAAGAACTTCAAAGTCAAGAGGTATGGGGCAGGGCGGGTTAAAGGAAAGCTCAAGTTAGCGATGCTCCTCTCTCAGGTAACCATGGTAAGGGATGCTGCAGGGGTCACCTGGTCTAGCCCTCTGCTCACTACACAGAGTCCTGACAGGTCTCCAGTTCTGCGTTGCCTGGGTGGGAAACTGAGTCTACACCATTGCTCAGACAGTTGTAACAAAGAGACTCTCTTCACTGACTCAGTTCAGCTGTCTGTCATCTATATGCTTTGCTTCTGAGCCACCCACTGCCGACAGCTAAGGCTCCATCCATTTTTCTTCCTAAGGCATACATCATCATTTCCAATAGGATAGGAATGCTTCATCTCATTTCCCCTGCTTGGCTTCATCTCAGCTGCCCTCTTGCATCACAGATAGGTTCAGGACACACTGCTTGTGTTTCTTGGTACTCTCCTCCTATCATGATCAAACCTATTCTCAGAAATGATGCCTGCCACCTAAGATGCAAGTGACCGATCATGCTTATGCCATTACCAACCCAGGGCTGTTTATATTTTAACAGCTTTCAAACCTTAAATCAAAGGGATGGCTGGGGATGCTTGGGTAGCAGCTACGGGAAACACAGAGGATAGAAGGAGAATAGGCAGAGAAATTTTCCTGGATTCCTTAAAATAATTTCTGAGACAATTCCTAAACAGAAGAGCAACCCAACCAGGTAACTGCCTCAATCTGAAAACTGGTAAACTTCAATGCGCTCTCAGGCTGTCTGTCCAGCATCCTTTTCTGAGGCAGAGCTACTCAGCTGTCCAGGCAAATCCCCATAAAATAAATTCCTTGAAGGCAGGGTCAGCTCTGATTCTCTCCTGGTTTACTGTCAGGCCGGGGCTGAGTAACATATTAACAGTTCCATATAAAAGAATCTTCTGGGTGAATGAGCAAATATGGTCAGGCCAAAGGCAGACTTCTCAGGCTCTGAGCATTGGCAGGTACTATGTGGCCACCAACATGAGATGCCAGACGGGATGGAATGGGGGCTTGAGTTGAAATGGGGGTCACGTAGCTTTCAAAGTCAAAAAGAAACCAACATGAAAGATATGGGTACACATGGTGATTCCATTGCAGCCCCTATCCCAAAGGTTTTATAGAACCCAAACTATGGTTTCTGAACCCCCAGTCCAATGCAGCAGCTACTGAGTTGCAGGAGAGAACCCATGGCTGGTAGTTGAATGGGAAGAAATACCTCAAAGAAAAGTAAAACGATAAATGATGAAAACCATAAAGGGGAAGACAAGCAACTTGGAGCACAGGTCATGGGGTGGAGAGAAGCTCCAGAGTCAGAGGAAGAAGGAGGGAAGAAAAGTGAGGATCACACCAATGACGAGCAAAATCTCTGAGTGCAAGAAAAGCTTGCATTTAGGTGTTAAAAAGCAGATAGACGAGAATGGGCGTTAGGCTCAACTTTATAAACAAAGCAAACCTCTAGAATGGAAGGTTACTTATAAAACAAAAAAGAATCATGTTTCTCATTTGTAATAGAGATAGGAAACATTTATGGCCAACTGAGGACTCCATGACCAGATAGAACACCAATCACTTGCCGAAGCCAAGACTTGGTGGCCATGTGAAGAGTTGGAAAGCATAGCACCAGTGTTCTTTCAGGTCTAATTTGAAGAAGATCCTCAAGGAAGAGTTCTAAAGAAGTAGTACATGGATGAGCACAATGTTCACAAGACAGGATGATGGAAAAAAAGAGCAAAGAGTCAGTGTTCGGTGTTAGTGGTGAACAGACAAGCGAAAGCACAAGGCATGAGGTGGGGTCGGGTATGGTTTCTTGCAAAGGAAGAGGCATGGGATTAAAAATGGTGCACTCCCAAACACCTGGGCTAGGAAACTGCCAGTATTTTAGAAATGGGCATTGTGGAGGGGAAGAGGGAAGGGCTATGAAGGCTTTAGTGTCTGAGATTGGGAGAGGAACACTGAAGAGATGGAGCATGTTATGATTAGCTATTAGGGTTTTTTTTTAATGGAGAAAATGGAGAAAATGGCTTTTATACTGAGTGCTGGGAAAAGCAGTTTAACTGCCAGTGGAAGGGAATGCTCAAAAGTTCAAGACTTCTTAATAATGTTTTCAGTGCTCCAGTTTTCCACGTTTGGCTTTTTAAATCACCACAAAAGCCCTCTTCTGTGGAAAGCTTTTTGAACCCACCATCCCCTTGCTCTAAACCAGGGTGACTTTATCTCATGTCCTCACTTGTCTCTACTCTCTGTCTGCTGAGGACCCACTCAGCAAGGTCAATTTCATAGCACTATTCTTTAGACGAACCACTATCATTTTCTAGCGCTCTTCTTAAAAGACTAAGTAACGTTTTTGTTTTGTGCCAACAACATGTAAATCAGACTCCTCACTCCCAGTTTCAGCAAGGGCATACCAGCTTCCTTTAATGCTGCACAATGGGTAGTTATAAAGGTCTGGGCAGAGGGATGGAATCAGCTCAGGGTTAGGGAGGAACAGACGGGCTTGATTTGATACAAGTGCAAGGAGAGGCAAAGAAAGTACGTGCTGAGTTGATTAGTCCAGAGTTGAGACCACAGGGACGGAGGTAAGAAAAGCATTTCTGCTCAGAGCCGGGCTAGTAGTCACCATTGGGGGACTTCTCTTCTTCACTGCCTTTCATTGTCAGGAAGTAGATGCGGTTGGCCTCTGGGTAGGTGACTTTGCTCAGCGGGAGCTTGTAGATGCCAGGGTTGTTGCTTGTGAGGAGAAGGAAGGTGAGGGTGGAGAGGCAGAAGGGCCAGGTGCCTGGAGGCACGCCAACCTGCAAATTGAACCAAGAGATAGAAGAATGTTTCCAGGCTCTTGTGTTGGGCCAGAAGCCCGGGGAGAAGGATATGATAGGAACTGAGGGTGGGGAGTCCTGCCTTCTGCCAGGTGAAGGTAGTTAGTGTTCCTGAACTCAGAGTGTCAGAGTAGCCAGTCAAGGAGATTGACTTGTCGCTCTCTTTGGGTACACTCAAAATCTTTTAACGCTGCGCCTGAATGGTCCTTACTCCCAGGTCTGGAGTGCCATCTGTCCATCCTGTTCTCTACTGCTGTCTTTCAACACACACACACACATACATACATACACACACACACACACACACACACACACACACACACCCTAGAACTAAATGTTCAAAATTCTTATTTGGATGACTCCTGGGTAAAACTTGCCACCCACTTTGGATCAGAGAGTCCCAACTTACCACTGCCATCATATTGGAGAGGGCTGCTCCCATGTATGCACAGAACAGGGCTGTGGAGGAACAAGAGCAGCTGAGTCAGCATCCCAGAGTCTGACTTCTTCAGCCGCTGCACAGAACTGGCTTTTCTGCAGCTATGGTGTCTGAAACCAGCCTTTACCTGACGCTGTTATTTCCCTGTCAGTTATCCCTCCATGGCTATGTATTCCCTGAGGCCAGAGGCTGAAGCTTATACACCTTTTATCTTCTCTCCATTTTCAGCATGACTTTATATAGTTCATTCTCATCCTGTCTCCACCAACTTTGGTAACAAATTAGAACAGACATATGACTAACAGAAGGCCAGCTAGAGGGTCTTGGTCGTCACTTTCTTAAAAACTTACCACAGACAAGGGCCAGCACGTGTGTCTGCCAGGTGAGTGCGTAGAACATGCCTCCGATGGCGATACAGGAGAGGACACTGTTGTAGCTCCAAAGGCCCATATAGATCGTCTCGAAGGGCGTGGCCACAGTCAGTGCTATCAAAGAAAGGATGGTATGTCTGGGTAATTTTGGACCACAGAGGAAAGGCCTCAGCATAGGTTCTGTCCTGTCCTTCACCATATACCTCCACCTCTGCTTACCAGAGGTGCCTCTGTAAATAGCATGTGACCATAGGAAATCAAACAGTAATTCCTGGAGTCACATGGTGATATGTGTATGTGATGATGTCTGGGATAAGGGGCAGCCTTGGAAAAGACATCAGAACCCTTCTTCAGTGCAAGAAGTTACATCATTTTCCATTTCAATACTGTTTCAAAGGCTTGAGAAAAAAGAAGTCCAGACAAACATAAATGAGTATGGAGAGAGAGGAGTGTCTGAGCCCCAGGGCAGGTGTGATCGTAGGTAGACATGGGTAGGGAATTACCGCCTCTTGCATTATTGTTATGAGGTTTTGATGAATTTAAAATTATTCCCAATTACAATTTTTTGGAAAGTTCTGTTTCCAAAAGTCTTTGCAAAACATTAGAATAATTCTAAAATAGTCTTTTACTCCCAGGGTCCCCTACCCTATTTTCTGATTCTATTGTGGGAAAAAGCATATCTATATATAAATGTGTGTACATACATATACATATGTGTAGGAATATGAAATTACACTCGAGAAATGCCAATCCGATTTTAGGAGACCTTTCCTTTTAGCTTGCTTAAAACTTTCAAGTGCTGGACCACATGTACCCCAGCTTGGGCTGTAACTGCTCCCCTCCTCCAACTTCTGGGCTCCATACTAAGGGTCCTTGCATTTCTCCACATGTTCTGTTTCTTCAATCTGCTCTCTTTGGAGAAAGCTCAAGGAAGGGAAAATAGTTTTTATCCCCCTGACAGTGTTTAAAACTCTACTGAAGACAAATCTGGGATGGTTTCTGTGTGCTGAGAAGAAATGGGATGAGGAAAATAATCCTAAAGATTCTCTTACAGAGCTGGGAATCTGTCTTACCTGCTAGCAGCCCCACAATTGACCCTATGGCTGCATGTAAGCAGATGAGTGGTGAGGAGATAAACAGAGCCACCAAGATCAAGCCACCTGTCCAAGGATTGTCGCAGCCGTAGACCTGGCCGACCCCAACAGGGATGGTTTGTAACAGCTGCAAAGTCAACAGAATGCAGGTCACTGGAATGTGGACAGATAATTCAAAATCCAGGCATCAGGGCCAAGACCAGGCCAGTGGGTAATGAAGGGGAACAGCGGGATGGCTGTGCCCTCCAGCGTGAGAGAGTACAGGGGGTGGGATGGCAACAAGCTGGAACAAATAGTTCCTCACTCCACCACCTACCAGGCATCCAGCATCCATCATGCAGTCAGGACTGGACTTGAGCATTTCCAGGGAGAGGAGAAACTTTGAGAGGGCCAGAATACACCCCCTTCCTAGATTGCCATTGGGGTATAAGGCACCAAGGTATTTCTTATAGACTTTTGAAAATCCTAGGAATGTTCTAGGAATATTGCAAATATTCTAGGCTGTTTTTATGGATGATTTGATAGATGGCCATTAGTGTGGAGCCTCTGAAACTGACTAAGACTTTGCTACCATTCCTGTCTTTGCATCAAAACACCATTGACTTGTCCTCATCGAGGAAGCTTGTCTAGCTAATGACCTTCCAGTTTTGAAATTTTGTAATCTAAATTGTGCAGCACAAATTGGATGGGTGTTTCTTCTTCTTGGGGGTGGAGAGGTCACAAGGGGGACAGACCTGGGAAAACTGGGAAGTGAGTGTGATGGGGTGCATAATGTGACATTCCCAAATAATAAAACTATTATGTTAGAAAAAATTCTATAGTTCTATGGTGCTGGATAGATGGCTCAGCAGTTAAGAGTGTTTGTATGGTATGTATTCACTTATATGTAGATATTAGCTATTAAGTCAATAACCAAGCTAGAATCTGTAGAACCACAGAGGTTAGGTATAGAGTAAAGGTCTAGGGGAACATATAGATCTCCATAGAAATGGTTGCTATAATAGGTAATTATGAATGGATGGGGGTGATGGAATTTGAGGATCAAGTTGAGAGGAGGAAGGAAGAGCGAGAGAATAGTGGGAGAGACAGCTAAAATTAAGGGCCATTAGAAGGGCCCTAATAGAGTAGAAGCTTTCTAAAATACATATACAAAAGTGGTCTAAATGAAATCATCCAATAACGAGGGAGATGGAGCCCCAACTGGCCATTTCTTGTCACCAAATGAAGCTTCCAGTACTGGGATTGGGTTATATCTAATTGAACTGTTGTTCAAAGGAGTCCCATGGGAATCCCCAAACAACCCAGGCTGCTGCCCAGACCACAGATTGCTCTCCACGAACTGTTGATAAGGCCCCGATTGCTGAAGACAACAAACCATTAAACATGGGGAAGTGGAGCTGGTGCCTACACAGAACCATTACCCTTATATTCTAGTGTTTCTGGTACAGGAAGGTACTCTGCACACTACTAAAAGAGAAACATAAACACCAACCCAGCCATAAACCCTCTGATCTACAATGGTGTCGTGTCTGCAAGATATGTTAGGGCAATGGTGTCAAAACCTGGTGGGAGTATCCAGCCAATATCTGATTGGACTTATGGCCCGCTCCATGAGATGGAACCGTACCTGACACTGCCTGGTGACAGGAACCTGATACTAGATATCCCTGGAGCTAAGGTAAAACCAAATACTACTGTTCTAAAAAACCAAAAAAAAAAAAAAAAAAGTAGCAATCGAACACATCCCAATGACATTCTGCTGTATTCATAGATCAGTGCCTTGCTCAGCCATCATCTTCCTCCTGCAGCAATTGGGAACAAATACAGAGACCCACACCAGACATTATTCAGAGAGTGAGAGTCCTTGGGATAGTAAGCTCTAAATGGGATGTCTCCATCAAATTCCTCCACCCCGGATAGCTCAGGGAGCCCTGCAGAAGAGGAGGCAGAAAGAGGGTAAGAGCCAGAGGGGTTGGAGGACGCCAGGAGAACAAGGCCCTCTGAATCAACATGAGCGGGGCAGAAACTGAGGCAACATGCTCGGGGTGGGCGTACGGTCTGCGCCGGGTCCTCTGAATGCACAGCATGGCTTCTGCTTAGTGTTTCTTGGGGGAATCCCGAGTGTGTGTATAAGCAGGCCTCTGATTCTTGTGCCTTCTCTTGGGCTCCTTTCCTTCTTTGTTTTGTCCCATTCTGATGTGTTAGTTTTTGTTTTATCTTATGTTTTATCTTTTGTTTTATCCTTTGTTTCCTCTTATTTATTATTACCCTCTCCCTTCCCCCGAAGGCTGATTGTTTTCTAATGAGAGACAGGGAATGGATCTGGGTGGGAAGGGAGGTGGGGAGGAACTGGGAGGAAGAGAGGGAGGAGAAACCATAATCAGGATATAGTATGTGAGGGAAAAAATGGAAAAGAAAGCAAAGAAAAATAAATAAAAATTTGCAATTTGGAAAAAATATTGTTGTTCTTTTCTGTATTAGTAGGTTATGTGACTCTAGGAGACAAGAGCTCTTTGTGGGTGAGCATAAACACGTGTAATAGCTATATACCGAATGATTAGTGATTCTCAGACTTTGTGTTCGTTGGAACCCTTGGGAGCTTTAAACAACATATCCAGCCTGGCTTCTCCACAGGGCATTTGATGAGACCAGCGTGCTTCCCTGCAAGCGAATATTACATGCAACAGGCTGGTGTCTACTGGATTCATAGATCACCCACTTCAGATGTCAGGAGGGCATTGCCTTGTCCTTTTCAGACCTTTGTGATTATCAATGAGTTGGACTTTAGAACACATCTGATTTCTTTAGGGAGTAGTGTTTGACTCCCAGAGAACTTTCAAGTGTTGGAATCTCTTGTTTCCCAGCGCATGGCTTTTAATAGCTGAAGGGATGGTGGTGGTGGGGCCTGGGACCCAGTCTTATTTTTAGGGACCCAGAAGGTGTGGGCAGGAAGTCTCAGCAGATGTCTGATCTCTGATCACATGTCAGCCTCTGAGGAACATGGAATGCTCAGTCCAACGTCCATCTTTCCACCTGGAAACACAGCTTGTAAGCCTAAGCAGTTAAGAACGAGAGGAATTTGGGAACACAGAGCCTCCGTTTAGAACAAAGCTCTTCCACCTGCAGGGAATCCATATTTTAGCCTGGGAACTGTGCGCTGCTACTGCTCCGTGCTGCCCCCTAGGCTACAGCGGATGCCTGAGGGAAAGGGCATTCATGTGGACAGTGGAAATTTACAGACTGCCTCCCTCTTGTAATTCTCAGCTACCTACAGGCTGCTTGCACAAATTGGAAGCGCATCCTCCCAGTTCTTTGAGAGTAAAAGCAAAACGGAATTGATTCTTCCAGATTCAGATTTGGATGGAGTAGGGGAGAGAATTTGCTGGTTGTCAAGATTAATGGATTTTTGGGCAGGTGAGAGGGTGCGCTTGGACTTCAAGGTACCCGGATTTGTGGTCAACCATTTTTTTGTGTGTGCCATAAGCCATCTTTTCTCTGAGATCCATATCACACTGACCACCACAGCACTGAGGCATCTGCCCTTGCATGTACGCTGAGTCCTTGGTGATCCTTTCTTAGGTCGTGCCACAATGTGCCTGGGGTTGACAGTGGACAGGGTTCTGTTCCTTTTGCCTGGCTGACCTTTGGTAATGAGGTTTGGCTTTTCTTCCTGCTCCGTTTTGCTTCTGGAGCCAGGCCTTTCTGTAAAGGCAGGGTTTTGATTTTTTTTTTCCAACTTCTTGGGTTTAGTTCTCAACCCTACTTCTAATCCCACTCTGAACTTAGCCAGACAAAACTTAAAAAGAAAGAGGAGGTACTTTCTCTCTGGAAAATTATGTATGAAAAAAAATTCAATATCACTGAGGAAGGCTTATCAACCATCTGAGGGTTTATGAACTCGAAATCCCAATGACTTCAACAATCTCTCACTATTTGATCCAGCATTTGATACACAGGAAATAGGAGCAAGTGCATCTTTTTGAGTGGGCTCAGGTTTAGAGTGTAGCTGTCCCTGAAAGACCTTGGGGTACTGGAGCAGAGAAAGCCACACTAAAGCTCAGGTACACATAGAAGCTGTGGTGGGCAGTGTGGACCCATAGGCCAAACCTATTTATACCTGAGGACTTGGGTTGTTTTCAAACACTGCAAAGACTATGACAGGGCAAATCCTAGGTACTCTAGGAAGCAGAGCTACAAGTGTGGGGGTAAATATAAAGGAATTGCCAAGGACTGTGAAGAGCACTCCTGTGATTAAAGGGACCTGGTGATCAGTAGACTCTTTTGAAAAGCATAAGTTTCAGCATACTATGATTGCTCCAAGCTGAGGCACATGTTCTGCGTGGGAGTGTAAGATGGTGGTTCAAAGTTAGGATTTTGCAACACCTGCCTGGTGTTAAGTGCTAGCTGCAGGTTGTCCTTGGACAACTGCTTCTGCTCCTTAGTTTTCTCATTTGTAAATTGGGAGTAATGGTAGTACCTACAAGGGGAAATGAGTTAATGTATTTATGGTGTAGGATAGTGTGATACATAAGCAGTTGTGCTCATACAACACTAAAGTTTTATCATGATGCTTAAGTTCCAGCTGGTAGCTATTTCTACATCTGTAAACAAGTCTAAGATTTTATAATTATATATGCTTTTAGAATCTTTTTATTCTGCTTCTCTCTTCTTAATGTCTAGAGGTCAGGAGAGCAAATGAACATGCATATTTGTAGGTAGGTTATAAGCAGAGGTCCTCAACTCTGGCTCTATTGGCATCCCAATTATATAATTTGTAGGATACTTAACAGAGTCCCTGGATTCTACTTACTAGACACTAGTAGCATTCTCTGTTCTGTTATCTCACGTGTTTAGATGCGTGCGTGCGTGTGTGTGTGTGTGTGTGTGTGTGCGTGTGCGTGCATGATAGGTGTGTGCATGAGTGTGGACATGTTTGTGCCACAGCACAAGTGTGGAGGACAGGGAAATCTTGGGTGTTGGTTATTTCCTATCAGTATGCGTTCTGAGGGTTGCACTGAGGCCGTCAGACATGCCTGGCAGTCATTTTTACCTGCTGAGCCATCTCACTGGATCAGCACTTATTCTCAGGCTCTCTTCCTCTTTATCCCTTCCTCTCCTCTGTTTCTATCTTCCCTCCTATGTTTTCAGACCCGTATCCCAGGCTGGCCTGAAGTCGGCGTGTAGGTGAGGATGATCTGATCATATTGTTTCCATCTTTCATGTGTCAGATTATAGTCACGTGCCTCTAAACTTGGTTTACATGGTGCTGGAGATTGAACCCAGAGTGTCGCATGCACTCAACCAGCTGAGCCATATCCTCACCGCTGGTCATGCTTGACAATAAAAAAATATTTCCAAATGTTGACTAAAGTTTCCAAGGAGTAAAATTCCCTTTGCTTGATACAGAGAGTATGTGAAAAAAATCTACCCTGTCTTCTATAGATAATACCTAATTCAATATGATTTTGAAGTATATGTTAGTCTTTTACTGCTTGATGAAATTATCTGTCTCATTTAATGCTTTTCATTCAACTGCAGCTGCCTTGCATAGGCAACTTCACACTTCCTGCTCATTGTGCGTTGTCTCTTGTGTACAATGTAGGTTTCACAATTGGCTTCTTTCAGGCATACTCTTGATGTCTGAAAGTGTCAAGAATGTGATAGATGTCCAGTAGAGATTTATTGAATGCATGGATGTGGCTTCAAGCCTTTCTGGTTGATGCTGAGGTTATCATATGGTCTCTTTTTCTTTTCCTTTTAATTTTTTTCTTAAATTGAGACAAGCTTTCATTATGTAGCTCCAGCTGGCCTGGAGATCCCCTATGTTGAGCAGGCTGACCTTGAACTCATAGAGATCTACCTGCATCTGCCTCATTTGAATGCCAGAATTAAAGTGTGCACTGCTATGACCAGCCTCATCTGGTTTCTGTTGAAGGATAGAACCTGGCTAATTTATTGAGTAGAGTCCAGGGTTCTTGACTTATTGCCTTTAGGCAACTTACCAAAGGCATTTCAATCTCTGTCCAGGTGATATTGGGAGCTGAAGACACAGGCTTGACAAGCGTTGTGGGGAAGAAGAGGTTGTAATGGCCTGTAGCTGCCAGGTACAGTGTTAAGGTGATGTTGAAGGGCAGTGTGAACACTGGCAGGTCCCACTTGCTGAAGATGCTACTCAAAGCACTAGAAACAACTGGGCTGTATAAAGAAGAGACACAATTAATCACGACTATCTTTAAGCTGACTCTATCTTTATCTCTGGACATTGGAATGTCTACTATCCCTCATCTTTAAGCTCCCCTAGGGATTTTAGTGGTTCACTGATCTATAACTGAGAATAATGTCCTCAGTTTGAGGAAGCAAATTAAAAACACAGTAATTTGAATGGAATACCTTATGAAATAGTTTAAATACTTTTTTTGTTCCTTCAACTGAGAAAACCAAACAAAACATGATCTTTATAAAATGCCATTATTGCCTTTGGCTTGTCCAGATGTATACCAGCTGTTGCCTGGGGTTGTGACAGCATTCTTAGGGTCTGACCTTCTAGTTAGATGATGCTAGAATATGTATGTAATGAACAAGATTGTACTTTCTGGGAGCCTCTCTGGGGACTTCCAGATAAAACAAAATCTTCAGTTATTTGCACACATTGTCTTCTTGGTCTATGGTCTATTCCTGGGGATGAGCATGGATTTTGGACAGAGAGAGCTGAATCCAAAACCAATCTGTTATAACTTAGAGGCTAAGTGAACAATGTTAAATAAATAATAATTTAGAAATAAATTGCTTGCAGTTTCAGCTTTCCCTGGAAGGGACCAGCCACTCCAGATATCCCACATATCTCTCATCCTCTGAGGCAGCTGGACAAGACAGAAAACCCCATGACCTGGTTGCATAGCCTGTCTTTAATTAGTGGCCACGAATCTCACATGGGCATTCAGGCCTGCCTAAAGTAACTCTAACGCACAGAAAGCTAGTTCATGTTTGTTTTTTTCTTTGAATTCTTACTGTCTGCCTCTCTTCTTTCTGTCTGGGTCAACCACAAGGTTTTATTTACTTCATAAAAAAGTGATGGGATGAGAAATGTTTCATTTCCTAGACCATAAAAACACACACTCCGCCAGCTTTGTTCCCACACTGCCTCTCTCCCTCCCACATTTGATGAAAGTGTCCCAGCTCCTTCATCAGATTAACTCTGCCTGTTCTTTGGTTTGGATCCTTCGCCAGGGCTTTTCTCTTACAGCATTCTCCACAGCGTAGATCTCCTTGTCCTCCAGGCCATTCTTGTCAGGCTATGGTACACTTTAGTAGTGTCTGCTTTCAAATGCTGTCTCTGTTTAACTCGGCACTCACTCCTCTCCAGGGTCTATTTTTTTCACAGCAGTCCTCCTCAGAAGAGCTGGTGCTCTGTTATCACAATCTCTCTGCTCCTCTCCTCCCTGAACCCCATCAGTCAGGTGTGTGTTCTCAATTACAGCGCAGAAATGGCTCTAGTCAAGTTCACTCAATGACATCTCACTTGGCGAGTTCACAGTCACTCCTTTCCTCTTAATTTAAAGCTGGAATCTTGCACTGTATGGAAATACTTTCTGTGTGGGCTACTACAACATTGAACTTTCTTAGATTACTCCTCGCTTACTCCATCTCAAGTTCCCTTCCATGACATTCCCGCTTTTCTGCCAGACATCTAATTATTGGGAGATTCCTTGGTTGTCGCTTGGCTCCTTTCTCTCCTTAGCCTTCCCCTGTGGGTGATATTTAGTCTCGTAGATGAAACACCTTCTATATGTGTCTGCCTTTCACAGTCGACTCTATCATTAGCTTCTTGATTCCCATGTCCAGTTACCATCTCAGCACTTCTGCTTGGAAGTCTAACACAGGTTGTGTAGACAGGTTTCATTTATTTTCGTCTCCCTGCTTTGCTCTTAGACTGCTGTATAACCCATATGCTCAAGCAAATCACAGTAGTATATTGAATATTCCCCCTTTCTTATCACCAGCTTCTCAGAAAGTCTTCTTGCCTTTGTCTCCCTTAAATAAACCCCAGACCCAGTCTCTTCTGGAGACCTTCATGTATTCTGCTCTAGTCCAGGCAGCCCTGTCTCTGTGGATCTTTTTAGTGAATCCTTTTTATAACTCTGCAACCACTCTTGTTCATCTAAATCCGTCCTCCACTTTGTAGGCAGAGAAGCTTATGTAGTTTTGAGTTTACATCATCGCTCTAATCCAAACTGTGACACTCTGTTCCATTTCTGCTATAGACGTAATACAAATCAGAACACTTGTTGGGTGCCGTGGTACTAGGGAACTACCTCATCTACTGAACTCTAAGCTCCCGCCACCTCTCGCTCATTCTTAGCACTTCAGCCTCTTGGGTCTTGCCTCTATTTCTTGGCCACCTCCCATTCTTCATTTGGAGTCTTGTATCTGAGGCATCCTTCACCCAAGCGTTGAGATGGTACATGCCTCCCTGACATTTAAGTGACAATTCAGGTTTGCCATCTATAATGTGTCTTTCCCTGACTACCCTGCTTGGAGTCATGCTCACTTTTCTCCAAGCAGTAAACTCATCTTGAAAGAACTTTTATTTGCTAGTTTTATAAGAGGTAAACTTATTAACTAGTAAATAAGAAAAATATAAACCCAAGAGAATAGTGTTTTTTCTTTATCTACACTTATCAATAGTCACTGTGCTCAGTGAATAGGCACTTGGACTTTTGTCTAGTGGGTGAATCTTGAAAACAGCACTTTAATCCAGGCTAAATGGACCGAGTTTCAAGGGCAGTATGAATGGATTAATAAATGCACTGGAATAGAAGGTCGTATAGAATTTCACCCAGGGCAGGAGTCAGTGTTTTCTGCCTTTTAGTTTGAGAAATGGGGGGTAGGGGCATTGAAATCTGAGCTACTACCAGGTGCCATATGGCAGAGAAGCTGTGTTGAGGGGTTGAATCTATGTAGTTATAAAACAAACGCATGCAAATGAGGATGAGTTCTGCTCCTCACTGGGGGACATGTGGGGAGCATTAAGAAAATTCCCCGCAGAAATGACCATTTTGTTTTTTGTCCCAAATGCATCAAGGAAAATAGAAACCCCAAGAAGAAAAATAAATTGCCCAGAATGCTTAATGCAGTAATTTATTTGCAAGCACCACTAAAAAGCAATGAAACACTACTTAAGCTAAATTGAACTAACTGGTTTTAGTAACTCCAGACTTTGAAACCTAAGAAAGACATTTACTTCTCGGAGATGTTAAAAATAAATTACTATGTCTGATTTATTGCTGAGAACAGGAATAAATCACCATGTCTGAGAGGAGTTGAGCATAGGGTAGTAGAGATGTGTGATGGGAAAAGTTGGGGACACTGCTTCCTATGATAGTAGGCATACTATTGGGCCATTTGGACACTTTACTGACCCGCTTCAAGTTCAAATGAAATTAAGATCATATGTGTGACTGGCTAAGCTCACTCTGTATTCAACAAGTATTTGTTCCTATGTCTCTTCTCTCTTGAAGCTCTCAACTGAAAGCTCTAGTTCAAAGACTCTGCACTTTGCATATAGACCTCCTGGTCCAAGAAAGCCTTCTGATTCTACTACAAGTGTGTTTCCAGATTTGAAAGATTAGTAAGGCCACACAATTCATAATCCCCATGTAGCCTGGGGTTTAGTAATGCAAATTCTAGATTCAGATATCCAGCCTCAAAACCTGAATGTAAGACCTGGAAGGGGCTACTCACCCTCTCTATGCCTTAGTCTTCTCTTCTGCAAACTGGGGATAAATATAACGTCACCTTGCTTAGCACTGTGCTGGTACTTATGAGCTATTTAATCATCATCAACCTTTATTATTTATAAAGGAAGATTAACAACTCAATAAAACATGTGGTTTTCAAAACGCCTCTAAATGGTCTCTGGTAATTTCTGTCTCCACTTAACCCTGCTGTATTGTTTCTGAAGTTATGAACTTATGGATTTTCATGGTCTTGCTAGACAAAAATCATCTGTTTATGGAGACACTGGGGTACACAAGTGTGCATGTCCCATTGCTACCCAATGAGCATAAACAGGGAGGTACCGCACCAGGCCATGGATGTGAAGGTCACAGGCAACAGAAGCCACCAGTAGTAGTCTAGCTTCTCTGAGAACACAACCATGAGCAGTCCCACCAGCATCCCATTATAGCCATGAAGTCCAGAGGCGATGGCTGACCTGGATTGGGGTGGAAGTTATGTTGCATTAGCATATGGTAGTTCACATTGAACACCTACTCTCAGAACTCTAGACTCTGCATAAATTAGATGATTCCTTTAGTAATAGATGGAAAGTGAGACTCTGAGGTAAGATGGTGGACTAGAGCCACCTGTATGTGGCTCAGCGGAAAAAGTGTCAGGGTAGCTTAAAAGATTTATATCTCGTATATATCCAAAGAGAAAGAGAGGAAATACTTCAGAAATAAAAAAGGATAGCTGAGGTTAAGTTGTGGTTCTTTCTGACAATGACCTCTCTGGCACGACAGGGCCACCCATTAAGAGGAGTTTTCCTGGCTCAGGGGCCTGCCCTGGGCGCCATCTTGAGAGGGAACCTATTGCTTACGACAGACTTACCTGGGGCTCTCTAGACAGAAGCAATCCCAAGTCAGAAAGCTAGGACAGACTCTATCCTAGCCCCAGCCCTAGTGTGTAGGGGAGGAGGGTGACACTGAGAAGCCAAAAGGTAGTCAACAGGACTCTCCCCGAAGGCAGGGTTTAGGGAAAGGGGTCCTCCTCATCTGGGAGCAGACCCCAGCACATGAGAATGCTTCTGGACGTTGAGTCTCAGGTGGGCAGCTTGGCACCTGTCTGCTGTGTGGCTTGCTGCCACAGAGCAGAGTCCGAGATTCTGAAGTTCCAGCACACAGTCTGCATTCTACAGTCTCACCTCTCTAGCAAGGTGGCTGCTGCTCAGTGGGCTTAAAGGTGAAGCCCTAAATCCGCTTCTGTCGACACTAAGGCTGCAGTTGCTTCGAACAACATACATGGAGGCACCCTCCAGCTTGAACATTAGCTACCCCAGCGATTATGAACTGGGGACTCTCAGGAGGGTGAGAAAAACTTGTGTGATCCACAGACTACAAACCTAATGGCTTGCAGAGAGACACACACAAGGGAACTTCTAAAACGGGGACAGATTAGCAGACATTGGACAGCATTTGTACCAACACAGGCTCAGAGCCAGTACAAATCAAAGGAGGGGAAAGAGCTGAAACTCAACCAACTCTTTTACCCTCTGTATGTATACAACGTTCTCTAATGTTCACCAACATAGAAAAAAGCCAGTCAAACAACTCATTTTTAATTTATTTTTTCTTTTTTCACCTCCTCTGTGGCACCCTTCCCTTTATTATACTTTTCATAGTAGTTTTACTTTATCTTTAAAAAATATTAATATTTTCATTTCCAAAGAACTGCACCTCATCATTACATCAGATATAGAATACCTGTCAGCCCATGGAAATCCCTAAGTAATAAATGAAGTCTTAAGAAATATAAAAGAGTTGAAATAATTTCTTGCATCTTATCAGATCACAGTAGAATAAAAGAAATCAATAAAAGAAATTGGGGGCTGGAGAGATGACCGAGTGGTTAAGACCATATACTCTTCTTCCACAGGACCTGAGCTTGAGTCCCAGCACACACATTGTGTAGCTCACAACCACGTGAAACTCTAACTCTGTAGGATCTAATATCTCAGGCTTCTGAAGGTACCTGAAATCTTGTATACACACACACACACACACACACACACACACACACACACACACACACAGTTAAAAATACAATAAATCTTAAAAAAGATAATATACAAATACTGGAGACTGAAGGATAAATTATTAAACAAGGAGAGGGTTATTGAAGAAGCTAGGGAGGAATTTAAAAAAGTCCTAGAATCAAGTGAAAATGATGAGGGACTTATGAGAACTCTTGCTACGGTGATTCGAAGAGGAAACTTTATGACTGTGAGTGCTTATGTTAAAAAATCAGAGATATCCCAAATAAATAACCCAGTGATGTGACTCAGTACCTTAGGAAAACATGAGCTTGTTGAACCTCAAACCAGTAGATGGCAATAAACAAACAAACAAACAAACAAATAAATAAATAATACAAAGATCTGTTCAAGAATGGTGAAATAGGGACTAAAAACAAAATCATAGACTCAACCCAAGAGTTTGTCCTTGGAAAAAACAAGATTGATAAAACCTACAGCTAACCTAACCCAAAAAAGGGAGAGAAGAAACTTTGAGTGACAACAGATCATACAAAGCTGTCACAACAGGTTTCAGTGAAATCTGGAGATTTACTAGGGAGTATTTCCAAGACTTATATTCCAAAAAAAAGTCTAGAAAATTGGGAAGAAATGGATACATTCCTATACACACAGCTTCCTAAAATTAAATCAAGAGGACATAAAAACTGACACAGACCCCATAGTGTGGACTTTCTCAATAGGATTTTTTTTTTTTTAACTTAGGACTTAGCACAAACAATGGGATTTCTGTGTGTGTCTCTGAGTCTATATTTGCATTGTTGTGCTTTTTTCTTTTTCTTGTTTGGTTGTTTGTCCTATTCCATTTTTTGCTTTATCTCATCTTATAGTATTGTATCATATTGTATTGTATTATTATTCCTTAGATGCCCGTGGGTCTGGATGGGGGGAGGGATGAGGAGGAAATGGGAGGAATAGAGGAAGAGAAACTGTAATCAGAATACATTGTATGAAAAACTTTGTTTTCAATAGATTTAGAAAAAAATATTGACAAATGGGCCTCCTGATTGTAAACCTTCTGCATAAGAAACAGTCTACTGAGGAGGAAACCCACAGATGGATGAAAACTGTTTCCAGTTCTATATCTGATGGAGGGTTGATATCTAGACTCTACAAAGAACTAAACCCACAAGCATCAAGAAAACACTCCAATGAAAAGGAGGCTTTAAATATGAACACAGAGTCCTCCAAAGAAGAAATGACAAAAGGCTAAGAAATATTTTGACAAAGTGTTCGACATTTTCCTCCAGCAGGGAATTGGAAGTTAAAACTACTCTGAGATTTCATCTTACCCCAGCGAGAACCACTGAGATTAAGTAAACAAAGGACAGTAAGTGCTAGCAAGGATGTGGGGGAGGGAAACCTGTGTTCACTGTTGGTAGGTGTCACAATGGCATAGACGTCATGGAAATCAGTATGGAGTTTCCTTCCAAAGCTGGAATAGATCTACCATATGACCCAGCTCTTCCTCTTACGGAAATACATGCAAAAGGCTTTTATCTCACTACAGAGACACTTGCTCATCCATGTTCATTGCTACTCTATTCACAATTGCCAGGAAGTAGTAACAGCTTAGATGTCCATCAACTGATCAATGGGTGGAATGAAAATGTGGTGCATTTACATAATGACATATCATTCAGCTGTTAAGAAAAATGAAATTATGAAATTTGCAAGTAAATGGAGGAAACTGGAAAAAGTTATATTGAGTAAAAGGTAACAGACTCAGAATGATTTGTTACTAAATTATCTATTGAGTAAAACGAGCTAACACCAATGTCCCTCAAAACATTTCATAAAATAGCAAGGGAAAGAACATTACCAAACTCATTCTATGAAGCCAGCATTGTCCATATATTAAAACTGGATATTTCTACAACAGCAACAACAACAACAACAACAACAACAACCTGACCAATACCCCTGATAAATGTGCATATAAAGTACTGCAAACTGAATCCAGAACACGTGTCCCTACAGTTATGCAAGGACAGTTTAACATATGTAAAGGTAATATAAGATATGAATTTAAGGTTAGAAATCACATTATAATTTTAATAGCTGCAGAAAAGAACTCTGACAAAATCTAACACCTCTTCATGATAAATGCTTTGTAGAATCTGGGAATAGAAAAACAGACCTCAATACAATAAAGACTACTTGCATCAAAGCTATGGCCACATTAGATAAAATGGAAAAAACTGAAAGCATTCCTTAAAAATAAGGAATGAGTAGATATTGTCTGCTCTCTCCAATTTTATTCAATATAGTGCTCTAAGTCTTAGGTAGAGCAATAATATAAGAAAAGAAACAAAAAGCATACAAATAGGAAAAGAGGAAGTCAATTATCTATTTGAAGATGACACAATCCTACACTTAAGACATTACCCTACAGATTATACTAGGACACTCATGGGTCTGATAAATATTTTTGGCAGAGTTGTAAGATCAAAACCCAACAGGCAAAATTCAGTTGCTTTTCTACACACCAATGACAAATTTATGAAGAAAGAAACTGTGGGACAATCACAATGACTTAAAAACTACCGAGTAGAAAAATTAACCAAGGATGTGATGACTTATATAGCAATAACTTTGCAACGCTGGAGAAAGAAACTGAAGAAGACAACAGAAGATGGAAAATTCCTCCACACTTACGGATTAGGAGAATTAATATTGTGAAATGACTATGTTACTGAAAGAAACCCACAGATTCAAAGCAATCCTCACCCAAATTCTAATGACTCTCTCCATTGAGAGAGAGAGAGAGAGAGAGAGAGAGAGAGAGACCCCTCCAGATGGCATCAGAAAAGCCTGAGAATGGACAAAGGCATGCCAAGCAGAAAGAGCAGTCCTGGAGATGAGCTGACTGATGCACTTGCCTCTGAGGATCATGGGATGGTAGCTGGGGCTAGAGGAAGCATGGTGCGCAATGTGGCTTACATCACTGTGGTCACTGCTGTTCTGGGATCCAACCTAGGCCCAGGCCCACACTGTGTGCAGTTGCAATGACATCAGCAGCATGGCTTTGAGCCCGTGGGATCTTCACCGCGTGGCCAAGCCTGGTCCTGTCACCCACGCAGAGTAACTTAAGTGGGCACCTTGTGTCTGCTCTTCCTTGTCCTTCAGTTATAAAAGACAGACTGTTTTACCCACTAGCTGATTCTGGGTATGATGCGGAGTTACAAATAGCCAGGCATGCTGGTAAAAACTGATCTTGAGAAACCCACTGTAGAGAAATGTATTTTATAGTGTGATCTAGTTCCCCTACCATGAATATAACAAAAATTTCATAAAATGTTTATCTCTACTCTACATAAATCACTCTAATCAGTTGTGTTTTATTGAGTGGCTGAATTAAATAATGTCACTGATGATTCATGATATGTAGTCTCCAAATTGAAAAGTGTATAATATGGCAGAATCTAGTATTTATTTTCCAAATTTCTTAAACTGTAAGAAGTTCCCGGGAAGCTGAGTACCATGGCACATGACTAAGCCCAGCACTCAGGAAGGCAGAGGCAGGCAGATGTTTGTGAGTTCGAGGTCAGCCTGGTCTTCAAAGCGAGTCTAGGACAGCCAAGGCTACACAGAGAAATCCTGCCTCCAAAAACCAAAAACCCCCAAAACAAACAAAAAAAGGAAGTTCCTGAGAGACCTAAAAGTCTCTTCCCCAAATGTAGCAAATGTACGCCAAAGGCCCACTGTCACATTATTTGTGATAGATAAAAATTTCATGGCATATGCTAGCAAAAGCAAGATGGATAAAGAAAGGACGGGAGATGGTCACAGTGACTGTCACTGGAGGATATGGTGCCATTGTCATGGGCACCGGCACATGAGAGGTTTCCTCTGTGAAGAGTGTTCTATTTCTTGGTCTGCATATTCTTTGCATAGGTCTTTGTTAAACTGAACATACCAATGCTTCCCACTATTTATGTACCTAATTTGGAAGAAAATAAACTTTAGGTTTTCAAATAATAGATCTAAATGTAAAATAAATAAATAAATAAATAAATAAATAAATAAATAAATAAATAAA